AGTAGCACGCAAAGGAATCGAGAAAGAAAACAAATAGGGATTCTCCTCTCCCATAAGTTGTTTTCGTGGTTTCTTGTTGCCAATTGATCAGTTGACTAAAACGACTCGACATTGGAGTGAAATGGCTTTAGTACCACTTCTCTAGAGATCAAAGACCAGACTAGAGATTCTAATGTTGATGTCATAGACTCCATGATCATGGTGGTCAAATCCCCAAAGGTCTGAGAATGGTAGTTGCCCATAGAGAGAAGAGAGCAGAGGGGAGAAAAAGAAAGAGAGAAAAAGAAGGGGATGAACAAGTCGGTCTAGCCGAGCCTACGCAAGGAGAGGCTAATAAGAGTATGATCTTCCTAATGGAAAGAAGATGACCTCCAATAGAAGGGGGAAGATATACAAGGGCTGTAGCAAGTTGAAGGTGACAAAGGTTGCGACATGGTGGTGGTTTTATTGTCCGAAAGACATGAGGTTGTGTCTAGGGAGTTTGGCTTCCACTTTATTTATGAATGTGAATTTCCTTTCCAAATAGGAAGGTGCTATGATAAGGACGGGGATCTTCCTTATCATGGTAGGTTTGTTGGTTGGATATGGGATGAGGGATTTACATGTAGAGTTTCACCACATGTCTTCATGGGGTCTCAACAACTTGTGCTCTAGGCTTTCTTTAGCCATTGAACAAATTGGACATAGAGAGAGAAGTCCATGATGTGCTAGTCTCCTAAGAATGTTTTTTTGTTGGGGTTTTTAATCTTTGGTATCTTTTAAATGGGACCACCAGGGTGTGGTACAGGCCTAGGTAGGTTGCGAGAAGGTCACTCTAAGTTGGTTTGGATCGAGAAGAGCCCCAAATCAAGTAGCAATCTTGTTGAAAAGGGCCCTAAATAATAATACCCTCGCCTTCAAACTGATAGAGGGGTATACATTGATTCCTCATTAGAAAACAAAGACCAAAGCTTAGGAATATCCCATCTTCAAGGATTTTGTAGTATAAGATCCACTACTTAAGAGACCTCACTATTAATTGGTTGCAGGGTAGAGTTTTGAGAGTTAGGAAGTGAGGAAAAGGGAATGCATAGGTCCTCTTAGATTTTAATTGTTTGACCATTTCCCACACACCACAACAACCTGAAGTCGAAGATGATACCTTTCCATCCAAAAGAATCATGTTGACTTAACTATCGCTCTAGGATAGGTAGAAGATAAGCAGTATTTTACTCTCAAAACCTGGCTCCACAAACTATGCTCTTCCCGGAGGAACCTTTAAAGAAGCTTTACAAGAAGAGCTTAATTGAATAGAGTTGTCTCCTTGAAATCTAGACCACCTCGAGACTTAGACTACATTTGGCATTCCTTATTTTAAGGACTTATTTTCTTTTTATAGTTAAAATGCTCCTTATAAACACAGTTTTTAACTACAAGAAGGAGATAAGTCCTTAAAATAAGGAATGCCAAATGCAGCCTTAGCACGACATAAAGAGTGGTAGGAGATCTAGTGAAACTTAGGTCTTCCTTCCTTATAACCCCAGTAAAATCTAGCATTCATCCCATCCAATTCAGAGCCGAGTACCTTTGGGCCTTGGCAATTCAAAGTAAAATGTCATATTAGTTGGTATTGTTGAGGCAACCACCTTTATTGATGTTTCCCTGATGGCAGGTTGAGCAAAAGGCGATTTTAACCTAAAATTCTACACAATACCCTTTGGCTCACATGCTTCAAGGATTCTTGCTTTCTTCTAGCAATGAGATTGGAAGAATACTTTTTATGACCAGGCAATTGTTAAGTTGGATTTTAAGAAAACCAAGTATCGCCATTGAAGAGGTGGGAAATGATTGGCCCATTTCAAGACCATGGTTTTAAAGGGTGATTGAGGCATACGCCTCAAGGCAAGGTGGCCAAATTTCGCTTGGCCTCAATAGCCTCAGTCTTAGAGCAAGGGGCGTAAGCCTCAGTTTTAGTGAGGCATAGGCAGGCGTAGGCCTTTGGCCTTTCACCTCAATTTACATGAGACGGTAACCTTAAGTTGAAGGGGTTTTGGGTGGGAAAATTGGATTTTAGTATGGGCAATTTTGGAAAAAAATAAAAACTCCAAAATATAGGGTTTTTAGCAACCAAAATCTAATTTCTCTATTTTCGCTTTTCAATCAAACTCAAGAAGAATAAACTCATTTCTCTTCTAGTGTTCTCTGTTCTATCTTCTATATTCTACTTCTCAGGCCAAATTCAAGATTCAAAAAGACAAGAATATTGGACGAAGCCAAATCATGCGACTGCATACAGGTTCTCCTTTTTCTTTTTATTCTTTTTCTTGAATTTTGCGTACATGTTCTCTTCCTCATCCTTTTCACTTTTTTCTTTTTTATTTGTCTCAAACTATCTGCTAGGTGGGGCAACGGATTTGTGGGAGGTCAGAGACTCAGAGGTGTTTGGCATGCTACTTTCTTTTAATCACTTTCGGATGGTAAGTGTTGTGATAACTATGTAAGTGATAACTGATGAGATACTTGGATACATGTTGCCATATTGTCATAAACTCAATATATATATTGAATTTGGATCCGTTTTGTCATCTTCCATGAACAACTCCTGTCACAACCGTCAATGAAGTTTTATCATGACAGCCATGGAAATGAGTCTAATTCATTTCAAGATTTGTCTAAAACTTTCTAAAAGATTTGAACAATCTTGAAAATATCTAATTCATAGTTCATTCAAGTAATCTGGAAAAGATTTGAACAATTAGCAATTGTTGAACCATTCATACATTAAGTGACAAATAATTATATAAAACTTCAATTATTTAATTTTTTTCATAATTTTTAAGTTTTTAATTTGAGGCTTACGCCTCAAGCTGTCTCGAGGCTTACGCCTTGCCTCTTTAGCACCCAACTGCCTCGCCTCCACTTTTAGCCTTTTAAAACCTTCTTCGAGATAGTTCCATTCCTTCAAATTGTCCAAAACTTATAGCATCATTGATAAGAGATTAGAGGACTTGGACACTAAGAATTACCAGATAAGGCAAGAGGGGATCCCTTTGCCTTATGCCTCTCTTTGGTTGGAAGGAACCTTGCTCGGTACCATTCGCCAGATAAGCAACATAATTGGAGGCAAAGCCAATGATCACTAAATCCCATTTGTTGTAGCACTGCCAAGGTGAAGTTCCACTCCAAATTATCATATGCATGTTGGATGTCCAACTTCATGATAACAAGAGAATGAGAAAAAAAAATCCAATTTAATTCAGTGGTAGTGGTAGGAAGCATATTAGATCTTGAGAGTATGAACCAGCATTTGGGTCCAACACATTTTGGTATCCAATTTGAATTCATCTTATTATTAAACTAAAACTATTTTAATACGAAACAAATTATCATATGCATGTTGAATTGGGCACATCCATTCTTGATAAATCAAGCCCACACATCTCATACCAATTTCTATTCCCTTAAACTAGAGGTGACCATGGGTCAGGCCCGGGCTGCACCATGCACAATTCTCTAAAACTTATAAAAACCCCTATAGTCCCATTAGTCTCATCTCTGTGTAAGCAAGCTCTTGTTTAAAAATCCAAGTCAAGTTCAGAAATTTTCCAATGTGGGACAATGCTTAAAAGAAGTAAAACAAGTCAAAATAAAGAGTTTTAGTGAGAACTTGAAAACCATTTCCAAATGTGTAGATGGATTGTATTATGTAATTAATCAATCAAACACCCATTGAAAATCTTTAATGAGATTAAAATCCAATATTTTTTGGGCTTGATGCAGGCCTAGGTTGGGCCAGCCCTACACACACAAACTTGGGCCCGGATTCAGTAATTTGCAAGATAGTGATGCAGGCCCAAGCAGGGACTCTGGATACACTACACCCCTCCGTTTTGTCCAACCCACCGAACCCAGTATATTCTATATGCAATATCCTCGATCTTAAACAATGAGGCTCTATTTTGTTAAACAGAGTTGGTTACAAAATGAATGTATTTTTGTGTGACAAATCAAGAATGGTAAAAACAAGTTAGAGGAAGAACTCCCATTATATAAAAAGCAACATAGATACGGAGAAGAGATAGTCTCTATGCTATGCTTCCTGCGTGTGGGAAAAAAAAATGAGGAAGCCCCTTTTGGTCAAATTAAAAAGCAAGTGGTTGGTTTATTACAAATAAGGGAAGAAAATGATATCCGTCATCCATTTTTTTCCTCTAATCTTATAAAAGCTATCTGGGTCCTCGATCTTAAGCAGTATTTTTGTGCGACAAATCAAGAATGGTAAAAACAACTAAGAGGATGAACTCCTATTATATAAAAAGCAACATAGATACGGAGAAGAGATAATGTCTCTATGCTATGCTTCCTGCACGTAGGAAAAAAATGAGGAAGTCCCTTTTCTGATCAAATTTAAAAGCAAGTGGTTTGTTTATTACAAAGAAGGGAAGAAAATGATATCTGTCATCAATTTTTTTCCTCTACTCTTATAAAAGCTATATGGGAGTGAAAAGCCACAAGACATGCAACTCAAGCTTGGGTCAAGAAGCATTTAGTGACATTTTCTACTTTACTCAATATTCTACATATTTTGATTAATTTTTTTACCCAAAAAATCATCAAGGTCCAAATAATATTCATAAAGACCTCCATTACCCTCCTCGATGTGGTCAGACTAGAATCCCCTGTTTAGACACGTGACTTCCTATCAATTCAGAAAATAGCATTTCGGGAGTAGTTTTCAAATCACTCTAAAAAAAATGAGTGGTTAGCTCCACTTTCAATTAGGAGGCCTCAATCTTAGCCACTCTTTCAAAAGTGAGGGTAGTTAAATAAAAAACAACTAAATAACCATTTCTCATCTCTATAAAAATAAAATTTAATTTAATCTCCTCAATGAAATAATAAAAAATGTGTTAAACAAAAGTGATAAGCATACATTGAGTATATATGTATAAATGGAGATTCTAGCAAATAAATGGAGATTCTTTACAGCCATTTTATCCAGTTTATTGCATCACATCGAATAACCAAATCACCTTATATGGATTAGTAAAGAGCTTAGTGTGTAGGAAAATTACTTGAAAGAATTCAATACAACATTTGAAGAAAAAAAATCAATACAACAAAAGAGAATTCAAAAGATCGAGAAAGATGCAAGAGATACATACACAATGGGAACAGCGTCAACTGTGATACAATATGGCAGAAACGACTCATGTGATATGGCTTGTTGAAAGGAAGCAAAGTTAGCAATTGGCGATATGCATCACAAGAAAAGAGTTAAGGGACAAGGAGAAAGGTGTTTTATTTGCAGCTTCTCACGGTTTAACTCACTTCCTTGAGTCTCTTTATCAAAGCATCTAAGGATTTCTTCCTTGTGTTTTGCTTGGCCCCCCTTGCTCCAAAGGTTCCAAAAAGCCGATCTGAAGGATCTCTTAACTTCTCTGAAATTGTCACCACTTTCCTATAGTCTAGAGTATTATAATTTTTTACTCTGATCACTGGATTCAGAAAATTCTCTGGATTACTGCTCAGGAGTAAATTGATTAGTTGCCTGGCCTCAGCCAATGCAGACTTCAATTGATTTGCATCTTCATCTGAGGAAAGGTGAGCTTGATTATCTGCAAACGATTCCAACAATCGAATATCCACATCAATCCCCGTTATGGCATTTACATTGAACCTCTTAACTGAATCCCCAAATAAAACTCCAACAATCTTCTCAGATATATAAGAAAGAACATCCTGTAAAACCCTTTTAAGTACTGCTGCTGGCAGTATCTGCTGAGCGGTAGAAACCAATGTCTCCAAATAAATAATCACCTCATTCACATATTCATTCCCATTTGGTGGAGGTTCATCAGCCATCCAATTCACATTCTCAGTCAACATCATGAATCCATCAATCTTGGTTTTAAGCATCCCGGAGAGCATCTCTTCCGCTGCATCACGGGCATTTTTCAGTGGAAACTGCCTCCTGCCCCTCTCTGCCATTCTCAGTGGAATGCCTGAAAGCTGTGCTGCATGACGGAAAAAGAAATCACAGGCTCGCTCCAAAACCGCCATGTTGGCTGCCACCTGCATTGCTTGAGAGACTCCATGAACAGACGTATTGATAAGCTTGAGCAATGCCCCATCCAAGACTTCACTCAAAAGTCGGTCCAAATACTTCTTAATCACATCATAAAAATCCAGCTGGCCTCCATATGACATGAAACTTACAGAATCCTCAATAAATGATCGAACAATTCGGCAGCAATCTGGGACAGTAGAAGAGAACGGTGCAATGTAAGGGAATGCAGGGATTATATCGGAGGTCTGTATCTGAAATGACAGTACATTCATCGAATACTCATACTCCTTCTTCATCAGCATCTGCTCAAACTTATCGGCAGCAAGCGCATCTCCAATCAACTTCCTACAATCAGACAACAACAGCTCATGGTACTTGTCTCTGTGCTTGCTCAGGACATCGAGGAGAGAATCAATAGGGTACCCATACCGACGCAGGGTTACACCAAGCAGACTAACATAGTCCTTTATCAACAAAAGATGATTGGCAGTTTGCATCCTAGAGAACTGATCCTCCAATACAGAACACATCTTACTAACAGCAGTCTCCCATAAATTCTCAACTTCAAACTTCGTAATCAGACCACCCCCTGTCCTCAATATCCGATCTTCTACTATAAAGAATCCAGCAATTTGAGCAAAAAATGTTTGATGAGATTCAAGAAAAGGCGTCATCGATGATACCTGAAAGTCCGACGTCAACTGAAGCTTCCGGTTCTCAAAATAATACTGTTTGAACCGATCTTCCAGGCCTAGGGTTTGATGGATGTGATAAGCCCTATACAACGGGGTCAAGTCAAACCCTAACACACCGCTTCCGCCATTATTGTGATTATCCTTACCATCGTCTCCAACTCCAAGACCTCCATCATCGTCTTCATCTTCCTCTTCTAGTGCATATACACAGTCCCTCAAACTGAGCCTGCTCTGTTCCTCGGCTTGTCGTTGCTTGATCCTTAGTTCCTCTTCTCTCTGTCTCGCCGACGATGCCTGCCCTATCGCCAATTGCCCCAAATTCCGACTAACAATCCGGATCTCGACGAGCCAATCACCAAATTCTTTATTGATCCTCCTCTCAATATACGACCGGATCGCCGGGATCTGCTTCTCGAGCATTCTCCTAAGCGTGGAAGAGGGAGTTCTCTCGAGAAAATCCCTCTCTATCGCTTCTAGGCACTTCAAGGCCATGTAGAAATTATTGCCAGATAGATGGGAATTCGCTCTGGAGCAGAGTTCAATCAGTCGAATACAAGTCTGAACAGAGTCGAGAGCAAGACTGATATTGCGGCTTACGTTCCGAGCCTCGACGAAGGCGTCGAGAGAGTTGAGAAGCGGACCTGCGACAGACTGCAGCAACCCGCTGGAGTGGGAGAGCGCAGACTTGAGTGAATCGGCGTCGGAAAGCATAGATCTGAGATCATCGACGGCCATGATGAAATCTTGGTAATGGGCCTTACATACCTCTTCGATCTCCGATTCCTTTGATCTGGCGAAGTGGCGTAGGTGGTGGAGGAGAGTTTCAGGTTTTCCGGAGGCGAATGCTTTGCGTACGAAGGGACCTAAATCTTCGGCGTTGCAGATGGCGGAGGAGACGAGGAGTTGATCAAGCTTATCGGAATCGCCGTCGTTGGCGAGAGGGGCGACTTTCCGTCTTATCTTCGACGATGACTGCATGGTAGCTTTAGTGTTATTGCCCGTTGATATGAAGACTGAAGAGTTGGGGTAGCATCTAGGTTGACTGGAATCTCATCGGTTAGAAACGGAGAAGATCTAGCCCTGTCTGTCTGAGATTGAGGGAGAGGCGAGGAATGTGGGAGACGAAAGGAGAATTTGGAGATAAAAATGAAATCGAACTGGTCTACTACTACTAGTCATCGAAAGTATTTTGGTTGACTGAAATGCCACTGGAGGGAGGTACAAATACCTTGCTCCGAGGCTCGAAAATCCAGCTTTATCGGTGGGCAAGCACGGTCATTTTTGCTTTTTAGAAGAAGGGTTAAACTAAAAGGTCGGACCGTAACAGAAAGGTTAAAAAGACTATTTTACCTTTTATTTTTCTTCAAAATTTCAAAATATAACATTTCGCCAAATAAAAAGCTAACAGGGCCTCTCTCCTCTCCATGAAGGCAAGAGAATTCTTTTGAAGCGCCCACGTGTCTTATCAAAGGAGTTTTCCCCAGATGACTTAACTGGCCACCTGTGCGCTTCATGGAGACAGAGGAGCTGGCATATGGGCTCCAGAGGTGTATGACTTCCGGATGTAAAGATGTTTTGAAAATTTGAAGAACGATACGGAGTAAATACTTTCAACCATAAAAGGGTAAAATTGGGATTTAGAAAAATTGTAACAAAAGAAAATTTAACCCTTAGAAAGAAAAACAAATAAAAAAACTTACCCTGTGGTTGCCAACTTGCCATCCAGCTTGAACCAGTTGTTTTGTCTTGTAGCGTTGTATCGAATCCCCTGGTCATTTTCCAAACAACTGAACAGAACAAAAATGACATCTCAAAGTCAATTCAAGGAAAATGAATAAAATAAACCATAAAGGTTGCCACCCTTATAATGAGCTCTAACCTGAGATGGAATCACAACAATACCACAACATTAATTTAAGACATTTTGTTTAATAAGTTAAAATTACATGAACTGAGCTAAATGCAACAAAGGGGAAAGTTGTCTATTTTAAGGAAAGTGGTGGTTCATATTTCACCTTATCTAGGCTGTGTTTGGAAAGAGTACAAATACAAACATGTTTGCTTCATAAAAATGCAAAGTTGATTTAGTTTTATATTGATGTTTTTGTATTCTTGCCAAATGATTTTTAGTTGTAATGGGTATAAATACAAATCCTGGGACTAAAACACATTTTTTATATCACAATTTGAATCCATTTTTTGAATGCAAAATTTTGCTCTCATTTGAATGCAAACATGTTTTTTAATCTATATTTGATGTCATTATTAATACACAAATATACTTACCAAACACCTGGCTACAAAACTAAACTAGAATGCATATATGCACTAAATTGGCATTAGCATTCTTCCCAAACATGGTCTTGAGCTCAATTTGGAGGAAAAACGAATACAAACATGTATTAGCATTGTACATATTTATGTTTGCACTACTCTCAAATTGAGACTAAGGGCTTGTCCGTTTGCTCTTAATACCTCCTGATATAACCATTTCTGGTCACGTGCCAATTTTTTGTGATGTATCATTTTTTTTTTTGGTTAAGTGCCTCGCCATTTGACCTACTCCCAGGAGAGGATGGTGGAGCTCCCTGGTGGTGAGCTACTGGTGACGAGTTCCCTGGTGGTGAGCTACTTGGTGACGAGCTCCCTAGCGGTGAGCTACTTGATGACGAGCTCCCTGGCGGTGAGCTACCTGGTGACGAGCTCCCTAGCGGTGAGCTACCTGGTGACGAGCTCCCTAGCGGTGAGCTACCTGGTGACGAGCTCCCTAGCAGTGAGCTACCTGGGTGGACTCGTCATTTGACCTGCTCCTAGGCGACTTGTAACTCAAGGGATGGTGGAGCTCCCTAGTGTAGTGCAACCCGACTTCCCTCTGCATGAGGTGATCTCCTCTCCTTTGTAGGCGGCGGGAGCTGAGGGACCTGCGAGAACTCCATCTTTTTCTCCTCTTTGTAGGCGGCGAGAGCTGAGGGACCTGTGAGAACTCCATCTTTTCCTCCTCTTTGTAGGCGGCGGGAGCTGAGGAACCTGCGAGAATTGAATCAGAAGACCCCGGGGTATTTTCCCGACGGGGACTCTCTGATGCCTAAGTTAGCATTCTGATTGTAGGGAGCTTGGAGAGAAATGAGAGAGCTAGAGAGTAGGGATTACCTCCATTCTTTTATTCTCCTCTTTTGTCTTTGGGGGCCAGAGTCCTTATATAGTGGTTTCCTGTCAAATCAGGCGTAACAACCTTTGTCAAGTCAGGCGTAACCGCCTCTGTCTCTCTATCGCAGTCGTTACTACCAGAGCTGAGGTGGCGGGTGCAGGCGACTGCTGCAGAGTACGATTCTACCAGTCAAGGGACAACTCTCAGGGCTGGTAGGCATGGCGCCACCTAGCGAGAGACGTGGGCGCAAGTCAGGTACGGTTGTCAGGCAGGAGATCTTCCTGTGATACGTCGAGCTGCCCCTAAGTGGCCAGCTCTTCGTAAGACGCCAGGCTACCTGCGGAGTGGCCAGCTGCTTGTGGCGAGCTGACTGTAAGTGCCGAGCTGCCCCTAAGTGGCGAGCTCTTCGTAAGACGCCAGGCTACCTGTGGCGAGCTGACTGTAAGTGTCGAGCTGCCCCTAAGTGGCGAGCTCTTCGTAAGATGCCAGGCTGCCTGCGGAGTGGCCAGCTGCCTGTGGCCAGCTG